TTGACTCTTTTTTTCTCGCTCAAAGTCACTCAAAACGACGAAAAACCGTCTGTTCTCTCATTCATTCAATCAGACCTTGGATGGCTGCGAGAGCCCTTGGATGTCTCCGAATGTTTGATTCATCGTTGATCTCCACACACGCCACGCAACTTAGTGATGAAGCCTGAGTGATTTTGCAAGACGATTCGTCATTGACACATGCAATTGGCGTCATCAACCGCGTCTGATGGGCCATGACGGCATGAAAGGCATGAACAGCAAGCATAACAGGAAGCAGATCACATAAATCATGCCGTCCCACCGCCTGCAGCAGTGAATGCATCAGTCGAAATGGCCATCAAATCGCTCTTACGATGAGTGGGTGGACGGATGGGTGGGTGGGTGTGTGGGCGGAGGGTGAAGTGATGCATAGAATGACTGAGGAGGAAAGAAGGCCGAACACATCAGGGCTGCACAAACGTGTGTTCGGCTGGATGAATGCCGCCAGATGCCTCAGGTGACTCTGTTGCCCACCCTCTTGTTTGTCACAAATGGGTCTTCGTGCCTCGATGTAAAGCAGCGGCTCTTCCGTTTACATCGAGACTCAACCTCGCCAAGCAGACTCGCCTTTTCGTCGCAAATCACCGTCGAATGATTTTCATCTCAGAACATGACCATCAAAATGTCCCATATATCCGTTGTCCCATTTAGCCGACCAAATTCGCACGCCTTCTGCTTGCCTGTTTGAGTCACCAGGGCATCCCGGCAGGCCACCTGACTCGCCTGGCGTCGAGCTTGGCCCGGAAAAAAGAAAAAAAAAGCAACCCCGCCGGCGGCGAGGACGAGGAGAGCCAGCAAAGCAAGTGCTTGAGCGTTGCTTGGGCGAGACAGACAAGCGGGAGTGATTCACTGGCGAATGAGTGATGGAATGCGACGAGCTATCGACAGATCGAGTGATGGAATGTCCAAAAACACGCATGACTCATGCAGAGACAGTCACTCACCACACCAACACACTTCAATCGATATCTACGTTCACCTGCTCACCACTATCCTCCTCTGCCACAGCCTGCTCGGCATTCAACTCTCGCTCCACCTCACTGCCTGGCCTGAGGCTGCAGCGAACGTCGTAACTGACGCCGTCGAAAGCAGGAAGGTCGAACAACTTGGAAAAGAAGCTCATCGCTGATAAGAGGGGAGGCGGATGGTGCGATGATGACGTCTATAGCTCTCGGAGAGGCTCTCGAGAGTAGCACTTCTCACTCCGTTGGTGAGGAGGGCCGCAGGCGGCCGCCTGCTCGTCTGACGATGGTTCGTGACTCTTTGGTTCACTGCAAATGCTACTGTGGGCTCAGAGGCAAGCCATTCATGCTGCTTCGTTGCTTCTTTGCCTCGCTGCTTCTCTTGTGCTTGCTGGCCCCACTTTGGCGGCCAGGATCTCGGCTGTTTGTGGGTGTTTGACGGTGAAATTTGGTTCACAGTGATCAGTGAGGCACGGTGGACATCATGCAGGTCATGGCGACGGCTCACAATGAATGAATGTCACCGGCTTGGGAAATGCGCAACATTCACAACGGATAAATGGGACATTTCCCACATAACGATTTTCCCATATAAGCAGCGTCCCATTTATCCGACCCTCACAGTACCAAGACCAATGCTGTATACCACAAAAGGGCCGTCAAATGTGTCCTCCGCCGTGCAAATCTCCCATCCGCCCTCACTGCTCCCAAACCTCTCGATCGCTCCTTTGCACGGAAGCCCCTTCGTAACTCCTGGACACACGACAGGAGAGGATGATCATACCGCCACGGGCACACGGACGCACACACACCCCGTTGAAGCTTCCTCCCCTGATCGAGCTATTTTTAAAACGTCCCAAATGTGCAGAAAAATGTTTAAAGACCGGCAAACCGCCGAAAAATATTAAATGAAAACTTTAGGTGATGACCGGGGGGGGGGGGGGG